ATTGGGCGCAGTGTTTCATTTCAGACTCAATCAACATTTTATCTGGATTCGGATGGCGAGCTGAATGCACGCAGCCTGGAAATGCCGGCCGCTGTCTCACCCAATACCGATATTCTGAAGAATGCGGAGGAAATAATTGGCAAAATAGCGGAGGAGACTCAGGCGGCGAAGGCGCGTGTACTCGAACATCATCCGGCCAAAAAAGTCATTGACAAAGCGAAGGCCTCACTCCGGTTCATATCTCTTTCACAGTACTTCTTCAAAACAAAAACAGAGCTAATTTTTACAATATGAGACATTTGGATCACTTGTCTTTCATAATCTTATTTGCCATCAACGAACGCATCTGCTAACTTATTCAGTTGCTTTGACCAGTGCTGCATTGCTTGGCGGTCAGCTTGCTGACAGTCCTGACTCGATCTTCCCCACCGCCATTCACTATCAAATTCTATCCTTCCAGCCTTAAAACATATGGAATTCAGCTGTGCTGAATTTCCTTTGGTTTTCACGGCTCCTTACTTTACAAGGTATGTTTCGGCCTACCTACGGCCGCAAATTACCACTTCACAACTTTGATCTCCTCGTCGATTCTGTTTGGAACGACTAATTTTGACTGGCTTCGTATGGCCCTTCTTTTCTATTTTCTATTTCTATTTAGTTTATCTCTTGTAGGGATTAGTAATCTAGCTCAGAGGCCCTTCCGGCTGATGCACTTGACAAGATTTTAGTGATTTCGAGATATTAACTGTCTGTGGAGCTGGCTTTTTATTATGAAAAAGCTTAATGATCGCTGTTACGAGCTTACAGATTTTGATTATATGTAGCGATGATTTTGATGGCTAAAGTTAAATGTCGTGGCGGATCAAAATTTTTGTTGTAGGGCTTCTTAGGCGGCAATGTAGGCTTTTAAGTGATCCAAAAATTATTATAACTAGCCAGAGCAACATTGGTGGCCGAGGAGATTGCTGTGCGGATTTTCATAAGATTATTCGGATTGACTGTTGCTCTGCACGCACCCTCTACAAATAATTTTTGGGTTTGATATGTAAGAAAGAAAGCATTTTCCGGTTTTTTTTTGGACGGTGTTCTTTTGTACAGTCGTGAGATTCAATTTAGTAAAAATTGGGGATAAAGCAACACTTTCTAACATTTTTTCCACAAAATCGAATTATTAGTTTGAACAAATCTGCTTGTTTGTCATGTTGAGCGTAAAATACTTTGTTTCAGGCTTCATTCATCAAATTCGCCTGGCCCTCCACGCTGCGAGCAGTGTGAAGTGGTAAGAGATTATTATGTTTTTCTTTTTTTTTTTTTTTTTTTTTTTA